TGGTATTTTTCCGGGCCAACCGAGGCTCATTCTCAGCCCTCTTCTCGAGGGGGTCTGCTTCAGGCCGACCAGGGCCAACACACCCACTGCTGACAGCAAATTCACACCTTCCATTAGAGCAAGCCTCTGATTGGTGGGTAGAATCAGCCCACATGGGATTAAGGCAAGGATGTGTGGAATCAACCGGGCCAGGCTGGGGCCGACTGGGGCTACCCGGCCCGGGCCGACCCGGTACAGATGGGAATGGCCCATTAATCACCTGCTGATTGAAACCAGGTGTGTTGAAGCTGAGTTAAAATACTAAAACCAAAATATGGTGGATACTGGGCCTCCAGGCCAGAACTGACCAGCCCTGCTATAGGCTATGCACTCTTTGTGTGGGTAAGTCCTTCCTAATCTGCTGCACTGAAAGTCCAATTTAATTGAACCAAACTAATGATCCTACTGCAACGGAGCAACAGATCACTATCAGGCTGGGTGATCGGCAATAACCCGAGTTGTTGCTGATCATTTTTATATGAGCAAAGTTTGTTACGCCTAAAATTAATTGGCATAAAAGATGACTTGAATGAATGAATGAGCTGGCTTCATAAAAACAACTCATTCATTCCATGATGTTGTTGCTGAATGTCAACAGGAAGAGCTGTTGGTTGATACTATGGTCTTTTTCTGAAGCTTTAGTCAACAGTCCTCCTTGGCAAACGTCAGACTACAAAAATCCATAAATCATAATCATGTTCTCCCAGAACTATGTTAACTCATTCACTGCCAGCCGTTTCCTGATCAGTGAAGCCCGTCGCTGCCAGCGTTTTTCAGTTTTCACAGTTTTTTTAAGAGTCACAGAATGTTGTGCGCTAGGATGATGTAGATGCCAAAACAACCAAAACAAAGCGGAGACTCACCTCTTAATCAGGAAGAATCCGCGCGTTTTGATCGTTATCCATTCTTTCATAATCCGTTGTTGAATTGTGATCGGCAGAAGCTTTTCCGGTTCGCGCCTCACTTTTTTTACAGCAGCGGCCCAAAATGATCTCCTAACACATGGATTTCCTAAGTGTGGTGCACGCACCCCTGGGGGTGCGCGGGCTGCCGCTAGGGGGTGCGCGAGGTGAAAAGTGTAATGGCTGCGGAGCTCAGAGAAGTCTGTCATATGTCACCATTAGCGTAGCCAGAAACTCATTTGTGGGTGGGCCTAAGAAAAAGTAAGTGGGCCCAATAAACGTAATTGAAAACAAGTATATTTTTGTGCGTGCGCGCGTGTCCTCCACATGTGCCCTAGCTTCATAATAACAATGCGCCGAGCTTCAGCACTCTGGCCTGCGCACGCCGATATGTTCCGTATTTGATCATTTTTAATGGTGTTGGAGAAATCTGAAGGTGGTGAGTCATTCTGGCAGACTGTAATTAACACCTGTCTCATGCAGGTGTTCTGACGTTGTAAACCTCACACACAGAACATTGTGGATGTAACAAAATAAATCAGGAAATGGTTCCCATTCAGGCTATTAGCAGCGCGCTGAAGATCTGAAGTTCAGAGTGCGTCTGTCAGAGGTCCAGCGGAACCACGGCTCACGGGTGCACAAGTGAGCACATCTGGGCTGGGCAGAAGTAATTTTACAACATTGGTTTGAATAGCGCCATTAACGAGACGCGGTGACTGGAGCGGCTCATGGAGCTGTGCCGCGCGCACACACACACACACACACACACACACACACACACACACACACACACACACACACACACACACACACACACACAGATTCAATAAGCGTGCACGCTGCGCAAACTCCGGCGCGCCGTCAGACTGAAGGCAGAAATGAGCGCTGCCTCCTCTGTGATAAAAACTTTAACAACATTTTTCATTCACGGTCAAATTAAGATATTAGCTTCTATTTTGGGATGACATATTAAAGTCGGGTCCGCTCCAGCCAGTGACTCCGGAAAAAGGTCGATCACATTTTTTTAACCGTCTGTCGAGTGACTGTTTAGCTTGACGTCTGATATTGATATATATATATAGCCATGCCCTGATGTGGGGGCTGGGGGGGGGGGGGGGGTGCGTCGACATGGTCGGGACATAGAAGGGGGTGCGTGGCTAAATAAGTTTGGGAACCGCTGTCCTAACACATGGATGTTCTTCCTGATCATGTGACCTGTGACGTATGTGGATGAACATCGGCTTTAGAGCTGAGATCGTACACCAATTTCCTGCGTTAGCTTCTGCATGGAAATTTAATTGTGAGTTTTTACTTCATATTTTAGAAATAAAAATGACGAGGGAAAACATTTATGACATCTTTTTAAACGAAATTTTCTAGCGCGACCTGCCTGCTTCACTAAGTCACTGCTTATTAAAGAGCAAGTCAACCCCTATCAGAGTCTAACTCCACTCCCACTTCATGTTTGAAAATGCAACAAATGCTGTTGCCTGGCAGACCGAGAAGGTGGAGCTGCTAACAAATACACACACACACACACACAGGCTCACGACAGCATTGTGACATCATAATGTACCAGTTTACATCATAGCATACCTCTTAGATTTAAATTAAAATACAGTGCAGAGTTTTTACCTGACAACAGCACAACACTGCCAGTTTTAGGCAGAATATTTAAATTTGAACTAAGATGCACTGAAGTGCCAAATTATTGACTACATATGTCTGCAGCACGATTAGACACTCGTTTATTTAGTTTATCAGCAAAAAAAGTTTTTTGGGGGGTGACTTGCTCTTTAAGGTCCACCCAAAATTACCGTGGCCCACCCAAAAATGAAAACCTGGCGCCGCGCCTGTTATAAACCTCTGCAAATTGTTGTTCGTCACTTTATCACACTCAGAGTTTGTACAGCTAATGTCAAGATGTAAAATTATGAGTTCAGTCGAGCTCTTCCCTCCCTCCCTCTCCTGCTCTCCTTAAACCCGACAGCCGATGTCAGGTTTCAAGGAGAAACAGGAGAGGGAGGGGAAGAAGGAGATGAGGCAAACAGAGTGAGTGTGACGTAGAGAAACCAGACTGGTGTGGAGGTGAGCAAAACAGCTGGAAAAGTGTGGGTGTTGAAACCCCCACATCCCCCACGGGTGCGACGCCCATGCATGGGGAACCTTCATGTTGTGTTTTTACCTTTTTCAGCTCCTCCTGCTATTATCACACCTCCTTTCCTTGGTTTGGCTCCATGACTTGCTGCCATGCTGGATGTGACTTTTGTTGACCCACATGAGAAAAGTTCCTAACACAAACACGACTGGGGTGGGGGGTGGGGGGTGCAGGACTCTCCTCTCCTCTCAGAGTGAAATTCTCCGGAAAAAGAATTGAATTGATAAAACTGGAGCTAACATGTTAATCAAAAAAGCATCTGAGAGTTTAAAGAACAAATTGCAAGTTAGAGACTCCCATGAACCAATGTTTAGAGACACATAGTGGAAATTGGTTTTAAACGTTTTTTTTTTTTACCCATACATAAATTATCTAGGCTTTTAGAGTCATTTTTGTGAGAAAAATGTGTTTTTTTCTTGCCAAACCAAGTGATGTCAGCTGAGGGAGTCCTAAATAACAGTCTGGCTAGAACGTGTTTCTAGGAGCAGAAGCTTGTTGGGTTAGGGTTAGCAGCAGGTGATCTACAGAGTAACACTGGCCTGAAAAAAACACCAACCTCAAATCGGGCCACTGGGAATTTCCCCAGCTGGATCCTGGTTCCGCCCTCCGTTGGATAGATAAACACACAACTTCTTCTTCTATGAGGTAGGCAGGCTGGACACCTGAAAAGCGAATTGCTGCCACAGCAACCACCACCGAGTCTGCACAACCCATCATACACAACAAGCACACGAACCCACAAGCCACATGCTTCACCCTCCACAATGCCTCCACTAGAAATGTCAGGAACTGTCTCTTATCCCTCACTACCACCACCAGTTGACTGGGACCCAGCACAAGGCCCCGATGCACCACCACCCTGAACCCCCTCACAACGCACCGCCTCAGCGTAGAAGCCACACTCTGCCGGATACTTTTCCACCTCCACTGCTGTCCTATAAGACACACGTCCTCTATAAGCTGCCTGATCAGCTCCACCACAGTTACAACAGCGGAGCGGAAGATCACAAAGCTTGCCCTCATGGTCACCCCAATCCCCCACACCGCCAACACCTCACCCCCTCCACACAGACTCCGGCCACATGACCAAAGCCCTGACACTTAAAGCACCTCAAGGGAGGCTCCTCATAGGCCCTACCTGGGAACCTATTGGGCCATTCCCATCTGTACTGGGTCGGCCCGGGCCGGGTAGCCCCAGTCGGCCCCAGCCTGGCCCGGTTGATTCCACACATCCTTGTCTTAAGCCCATGTGGGCTGATTCTACCCACCAATCAGAGGCTTGCTCTAATGGAAGGTGTGAATTTGCTGTCAGCAGTGGGTGTGTTGGCCCTGGTCGGCCTGAAGCAGACCCCCTCGAGAAGAGGGCTGAGAATGAGCCTTGGTTGGCCCGGAAAAATACCAGGCCACCCAGATACGTAAACAACCTACGCTACCCAGCCCGGGCCGACCCGGTACAGATGGGAATGGCCCATTATAAGATAGCCCAACTTGACACGAGCCGGGAGCTCCACTGGGTCAAAACTAATTCACAACGGAGTGGACCCGCGCTTATCACATCCCAACGGTGAACCGCCACCACCGCTCTCCACTCAGGGCGTCCACCACCTCCAAAGGTGTTGGTGTTTATCCTCCTCATCAGAAAATGGTGGGTGTTAATACACCCATGTCCTGATGGCCATGCGCGGCACAGCGCCACGCCTGAGCTTATGTAGGGGAAACAGTGGGCACATATTAAAACAGGAAGTGGTGTCAGTGGTAAACAGGAAGTACACAATCTCTCAGGTGGCAGTTAAAAGAACTCATCCGGTGGGAAAAACTGCATTACAGAGATGTCAGGCTGAGTTGGACCTAATCAGTCACCTGTCAGTAGAGCTGATGAGTCATTTTGGGTTTGTCTACAGGAAGTATCCGCCGCTGTTCAAGGCCATGTTCCGAAACAGTCTGAAGATGCTATTGGGAGGTAAAGGACGGAAGATTACCAGCAATGGTCAGTATCACATGTACCTCCATGGTGACAGCTGTGTTTTTTATTATAATGCATCTGTTCCTTCACTTTCTTTCCAACAGGTGGTACTGGCATCAGCCCAGACGAGTCCGATGCCAGGAAGCTGGAGGGCTTCACCCGTTCTCTCCCCTCATCCCCCCTCCTCAACCTTCGCTTGGTCAGGCGATCTGGTAGGACCGTTTTCTCCTTGTACCAGATCAAGATCTACAGTTGTTATCTTAACCCTCCCACTGTCCTAATGGGTGTGACCCCGCGAGGAAAGTTGACCGTTGAGCAGGATTGATGGTTCATCCCTTGGGTCCACATGGCAGGGGTGAGGTGGTGCTCACTCCTCACCCCTGCCACATAAACCAAAGGAATAAACCATCAACCCTGCTCAATGGTCAACTTTCCCCGCGGGGTCACACCCATTAGGACAGTGGGAGGGTTAAGAATCACCCCTGATTTAGTTTCCATCAAAACAATCCCAAAGAAGTTCAACAACACTCGCAGAAAAGAACATCTACCACTTTCTGTGTTCACTCGGGTTTGTTGAGGGATACAAAGGGTTACCTTTTGTTTGATCTTCTCTGTGCCATTTAGGAGACCATAGACCCCCCCCCCCCCCCCCCCAACACAAATACACACACCTGGGTTCTGTTTTTTAACTTACTTGAAGAACTGAGTGTTGAAATGACATGGATCTGAAATATTTCAGTCAGATGCTCATTTCTTCCTGTAGTTTCAGCTTTTCTTTGGTCAGTCCTCTCTACAGGAATGAAACGGACTGAAACTTTTCCAAGCCTTCCTGGTGGTTTCTGTGATGCTGATTGGTCTATTGTTTCAGCTCCTCCTGCAGACCTCTCTCTCTCTCTCTCTCTCTCTCTCTCTCTCTCTCTCTCTCTCTCTCTCTCTCTCTCTCTCTCTCTCTCTCTCTCTCTCTCTCTCTCTCTCTCTCTCTCTCCCTCTCTCCTTTCTCTCTCCTCTCTCTCTCTCTCTCTCTCTCTGTTTGTTGGAGGAGGGGAGATTCTGATTTGGAGAGCTCTCAGACGAAGGAAGTTGTCCTAAACATGGAGGCTCTGTGGCTGAACAAAGGCCTGGTCAGATGTTGATTCTGGGCTAGGACCGACGAGGCGTCTCCTTAACCATGTTGGATTTAACTGTCTGATACTTCACGTGTATCTCCCCTCGGTTTTCTTCCACATGTAAACAGAAAAAGCGCCTTTTCTGCATCAGGAATGTATCATCTGGATCTGCTGGCTAAAAGTTCTGAAGACCCATCTTCAGACTGTGAGAAGTTCGGCTCTCAAGTCGCTGTCCTGCATTTTGCTTCAACGGTCTCATCTTTCTGTCCAATGTCTCGGATCCTGCCTCTTTCACCGACAGTCCCTCTGTCCTTTGTGCTCTGAGGAAGGAGGAGCTCATGCACAGGAGGAGGACGTGGTTTCAGAAGAATGAACCAGATTATTTCTGCTTGAAACCTGGAGGGTGCAACAACATGGACTGCACAGCAAGAATTTTAAAAGCACGTGTCCACTCTAGAAGGGCTTGGTGTCAACACAGGAGACCCTCTGTCCATCAGTCATGGACACCACTGAATGAGAGGTGTTGTGGTGGAGCTGCTGGGGTTGTGACCTGCACCTCCTCACTACTGCATCACTTCTTGTTGCATGTGTGTTGTTACCCTTCCCAAGAGGAGAGCTCTGAGCTGTACCGGGATTGGGGTGGTCATCCAGTCGATGGGCTGGAGGGTGGAGGAGGACGGGAGGAAGGTGAGAGTCCAGACAGCTGCTTTCCAGCGACATAAAGTTTGTCTAGATGTGATTATCTCTTGTAAGTCGCTTTGGACAAAAGCGTCTGCTAAATACATAAACATCAACATAAACAACTCAGGTTTGGGCTCTTCTAGCACCAGAACCAGGTCACTTTTCTGTTTTTACACATGTAGAAGCTTTTTTCTGAGATTAGGACGTATTGATGCATCAGGTGAGGTTTTATTCTGCTGAGAAAGCCCGGATCATACAGCTGTTGACGTGGGACTGATGGGACCTGCCCGTCTGATGGAGATACTGGTTAGGGTTGGGGTTAGACTTCAGCTGAGAATGATCTCTGTGAGAAAAAAGCAGAAAAGATAAAGTTATTTAGAACTTAAAAATAGATGTAAAACTAAATGATAAACAGCCATAATGACTTTGCGTAAAACACCAAGGAGCAGGTTTAATAAACGACTAAATACTTGTAGCTTTTAGCTTTTACCAGACTTGAACCTCCCAGAATTCCTACTTGTGTCAAGCCAGCCTGCAGTTTATTGTCGGTTCCCCGTCTATTCAAAGTATTAAGGGAAGGGATGTGGAAACCGGATATCAAAATAAAAGTAAACTTCGAGTGAATTAACAGATATTTTAAGAACATAATAACACATAATTTAGGCTTGTTCACTATTAGCGGCCTGTCAATATCAAGGCCATCTTATTTTGGATTTCAAAGTAAAAGCCCAGTGAATTTTCAACGCAGTCTGATGTTGCCTTCCAAAATAAAGGCCTTTTTAAATTGCCCATATCGTACCAAACTTTCAGTGATTTCAAAATGCTCTAAAATGGAAAATTGCTGTTTCCACAGGGTAATTCCACTTTAGATCAACAGCATACAACCCCACAGTCATACCATGTCAATATCAAGTCATTCTGATGTTGCCTTCCAAAATAAAGGCCTTTTTAAATTGCCTACATACGACTAACTCGTAACAATTTCAAAATGCTCTTAAATAGATTTTTGCTGTTTCCACAGGATGACTACATGTTCGATCAATAGTATACAACCACACAGTGATTCCATATCAAAATTAAGTCAGTCTGATTTTATTAAAATGTACTGAAGTGGATTTCTTGTCTTTACATATTAATGACACAATCTTTTCTTTGTATTTGTTATGTTATGAAATAGAACCATTTTCATAAAAGTAAGATAGGTAAATCTGTTTATCTTTGAAAACAAATCCCAGAAAAAGGGAACAGCTCAATACAAGTAGAGTGAATTGCAAAGTCCAAAAGGTGCCGTCATGATAACATTAAAGGTGCTTTAAAGGTAAATGACAACATCACGGAAATGTGGATGAGATATGTATGAAAACGTTTCGCCGTATTATGTTGCTCAAATTATCACTTTGGTGGAGACAACAGAGTACATCTTCAAATATTTTGACACAAGCATCCAATAAGTCTGTGGTTTAACAGCACAGGAGACAATTCCACGCTTCTGCCTTTGCTTTTTTAAAGTCATCGTTGGTCATGTCAAGGCACTGCTCATGGTACCATCTTTGACAGGTGTCACATTGTATCTATTTAAAATCAAACAGACAACGCAAAAAAAAAAACATTTATACTCAAAGACTTTTACACATTTTTGAGAAATTCAAATACCCTCCAACTCACCCAGTTCATCATCCAGGTGGCTTGGTCAGTGAACACATGGCACAGTTGCTGTTAGTGTCAAAAACTAAAATACAGAATCAAAACACACTAGATAGACATTCGTTTGAAGGCCAGTTTGTGCAAATGTTAAACTGTGTACTTACAACTTTCTATCGATTAGACCACAGCATAAAGTGCTATTGTGTACTATAATAATACTACTAACAGATTAACACATTTCAATCTACACACACGCACACATATACATTCAAATACATACATACACACACACACACACACACACACACACATATACATTCTAATACATACATACACACACACACACACACACACACACACACACACACACACACACACACACACACACACACACACACACACACACACACACACACACACACACACATTTTCTCTATTATTCACCCCCAAACCAACCTGATGCTTGTAGTATCTCCACAGCCATCAATTTTCTTTCCTCTGCCATTTTCTCTTTTGAGGTTTTAAATTTCATGACGGGAAAATCTGGAAGTACTTTCATCACTGCCCGTGCCATCTACAGAGAAATACTCATTTTAATTGTGAAAGAAAAGACACAATTGTACTCTATATAAAATATCTGATGTTTGTGATCTTGCATAAACAGTATGAAAAACAAAGGGCAATAAATAGACTTAAGTCTTTATGAACACCAGGTAACTTCTAACCCTCAGTACAGGGTTGTTGAAATGGACATCGTGGATGAATAAATATGTGATACACCTTGTAAACATAGAGAACAAAGTGGGCAGGGTTAAAAACAACACTGCACTCTACAGTAAGGGCCAGAGCCATGTATATTCTTTGAAGCTGACGAATAACGGAAATAGGGAACATCTCTAGTTACTAGTTATTAGTTATAGTCTGCTTCCAATTTGTGGGTAGCTGACTTCTTTAACATCTGTTGGGCAATACTCTGTATATTCTATAAAAATGTTGTGGAGAGTCCCAACCTTTGTTGTGCTAGTGCCACAGAGACTCAATAAAGTGAGTCCACAGGGTGGCCCTACAGTCTCGTAAGGTGCTGTTAGAGATGTGGATGTTTTCCTAGTTAACCACAATGCTGGTCAATACATACCACCTGCATCATGATGTGCTAGCCATTCACCAGAGCGTGCTCAGTGAGAGAATGAGATTGCTGATAATGCACCATTATGACACAGGAAATAATTCCTGACTGTGACTTGCTCTCTTTAAAGTATAAGTATAAGTACTGTCTGCAATCGCTGTGCAGCCTCAATATTTGCACATCCTTTAAAGAGTATGTCACAAAATCTGCATGACTTAGGTATATATCACTTGTGCAGTATACTGTGAAATTTAGTGTTAGATGTATTCATATCTATTACAGCAACTGTTATGGATGTGGATATTCTTCTGACCATGGCACAAAGCTATATACAAATGTATATTATCATCACTTACCATCACCACTAATACTCCACAGCTG